GTATTCAGAGATGCTTTTCTGCATACCTCGGTTGTAACTAGTGGTTATTTGAGTTAGTGTTGCCTTCCTATCAGCTCCAAGCAGTCTGGTCATTCGCCTCTGACCTCTGTGAACTGCAGCTGACTGAAAATTTTCTCTTTTTCCAGATCATCCTCTGGAAACCCTAGAGATGGTTGTGCAGGAAAATCCCAGAAGATCAGCATCTTTTGAAATACTCAGACTAACAGCCATTCCCCATTGTGATGTTCAATTTGAACTTCAGCAGGTCATCTTGACCACGTCTATGTGCCTAAAAGCTTTGAATTGCCACCATGTGATGGCTGATCAGATATTTGTGTGAAAGCAGAAATTCTTAAAAATTAAAAACATGGATCACCAATTGACGATAATAAATTTTTTAGTAGATGCTGTACTTCCTTCCTCTGCCTGACCTCTCACCGATCCAATAACAATAATTTCCAGCAGAACTTGTATCCATTTGTGCCGACGTGTTCATCTGTTAGATTGCAATGAACATTTCAATAAATAGCAGGCTCTTGTTTCTGCAAATGAGGTGTTCACCCTTCCCTCTACAGCACTAATCATTATTTGTTTTGCTAGTAATCATGTACCCTTTAAAAAGCTGTAGCAAATGAAGGCCCTTGAATTACCATAGTCATAAATATTCATCACTACAAAATTCTTAATTTAGGAATTTCTAGAGCATTATCAGTGCTGCAGATAACCGGGGCATCTTTTCAGTAATTGGAGCCCGTGTTAGAACATAAATTCACTTATCCTAGTCTAGAGGTCAGTGAATAACAGTCTGTGAGAAAAATGTGGCTCATGGCCCAGCTGTAAATGTTACATAAATTACAGGAGGTATGCATATGAAATGGATAATGTGAGAGCTATTAATAAGTGCATAACAAACAATAAGATATATCGACAGTAAAAAGTCAAAATTAAGGTCTGCAGTGTGTCTCCACCGCAACAAAAGACCAATGTAGACCCAAAATATACTGAAAAACTGCTGTAAACTGCCCCGCAGTGCGCTATAAAACATTGAAACTGTTTTGTAACGCACCCCGCCGCAAACAAGCGAACTCCGGAGAACACAAACAAATAAATAGAAGCCAGCGAGAGGTGAAGTGAGCTGCACTCCACCCATCTCAGAAATGAAACCATGAAGCACAGCCATGAAATTTACAAATGCAAGCAGAGGAGTTGAATTTGACCAAATAAAATTGTGTAATTGACCAGCATGCGCACCTTCTCCTGGTGCGACACAAAAACAGAGCCATCACACCTTAACCCACGACATTAAAAATAGAAATCCACATCTGTGTGAGAATCCAAGTGGAATCCTCCTACCCACTTTCAAACATCTGTGACACCTGTGGGCCACTCCTGTGCAGCTGGTCTGGGACCTGGAAAAACCTGGTTTGTGGAGACCTGAAGCTGAATTGGGTTGGATATAACCAAACTGAATTATTTTTTTTCTTTTAATCTGTCACAGGTGGATAGTTAAGCTTAACAGTTAATGGAGACATTTAAATAAATGAAAGGCACTACTAAAGTCCTACCAAGCCAAGTCATAACAAAATTATACCCAACATATGCTTGCTTTTCATGCATATGAGGCTAAAGGAATACAATTTAGCAGTGTTGGAAGATTAAAAGGAAGAGGTGAGGGTGAAATGTAAGAAGATTATCTCAAAATAAATTCCACTAGACCTGAAGCTGTTTCAGCTTGCTTTGTATGCATAAGAGGGCGGTTAAACAACAACAACAACAACAACAATTAATGAACATTAGTTGGTTGTTTTAATCCCTAAAAGCTTTTAGCATTGTTTTGGCAATAAAAAACAAACTGGATAAAATAAACAACCTTCCACGGTAGCATATAAATTACATATATGAAATTCACTGTAGTCAGAATATGTGCAGCTTTGCTGCTAAATTTAGCTAAGGGCTTAGCGAGATGCTAATTGCGGCTAATATTAGCATTAGCCCAGGAGAATGCTTACGGCTAATTTAGTCATTAGGGTTTAAAATGAGGTTAGAATAGGCAGTCATACACTCAATAGATTCACACTGAACTTTTAGTCTGCAGGTGATGAGGGGATACATCTCCAGTACAAAGGCTGAACATAATTTTCCTAAATTTAGCCTAATGGGGTAAGCTTTTCAAACAAAATGTGCATATCAACCACGCTTTTTAAGTGTTCAAATAATCTTGGTGAAAATGACACATACTCTGCTGAAAGCACCTGAACATGTCCTGCTTGATTTAATGATACAAACCCACAGCAAATTAGAGAAAATGCTATACCCCAAGCCTAGGCGTGGAACTTATATGAAGTGTGAAGGTTTATAATCCAAGTATACTAATAAATGCTTATTTCAGCTGAAGATCAGTGTCTAAAGGTTTGTACATGTGTTTGACAGTCGTTATCGGTGCAATAAATCCTAAGCCACCTCTCATTACTTCTAATTATACATTTTTGTCATTTTTTAAAGCGGTCTTGAGCAGTAATTCCCCAACATTTCTGAATGTTTTTCAAAGTTTTTTCCTTTTTCAGTCCTTGCACCTGACCCTTTTTAGAGGAAATGTCTGTCTCTTAAGCCACTTAACACTTAACTGCAAATAATTCAAGAACAAAAAAAGGCATCTCATCTGGAGCAGATGAATAGTGTCTAAAAGTCATGTCTATAATAAAAAAATCAGACCCGACACAGTCACTTAAGCTTCATCAGGTCTCAGTGGAAGGGTGGTTGTCAACAAGCCATTCTTAAGAAAGGGAAATGGAGAAAAAGCAGCAGTATGTCAAATTACACAACAACTAGACTAAATCAGTGGCAACAGGTCTCATGGAGTGATGAATCCAAATTTGAAATTTTCAGTTCAAATTCTTGTCAATTGTTATATGACGGGGGTATGGAGAAAGGTAAAACAGTGACTGACTACAGCCACCTGCAAATCGTGGTGAGTGCTACATTTCAGCCAGTTGTCTAAATTGGTGGAATTATGAACAAAGAAAAGTGCCATCAGATTTGAATCCACCGTGCAATACCATCTGGAAAGTGCCAGACTGTGACGAGCTTTTTTCAGCATGACAATCCCAAACACACAGCTATGCAGTAAAAGCATACCTGAACAGAAAAACACAGTGGATCAAGAGTTTTGTACAGTAAGTAATATACAGCAATCTGTGTGGAGTTTTCATGTTCTCCCTGTGCCCCTGTGTGCTTCCTTCTACAGTCCAAAGATGTGCAAGAGTTAAGGTTGGTGATTCTAAATTGGCTGTAGAGGTGAATCTTTCTGTTTCTCCATGTGTCGGCCCTGTGACAGACTGGCAACCTGTCTAGGGTGGATGTGTATGTATAATTTAGCTACCTGGCAGTACTGACCAGTTATTTGTATGACTGTTTGCCCCCAAACACTATATCGCTTGAAACAAAATCTGAATTATAACTTGCAGCACAATAAATAGTTCATATGTACCCACTTTGTGATTACATATAAACCTTTCCAAGAGTATCACCAATCCCGGTTATGGGCTGTCAAACTAAAGTGTTCTTTTCAGGCATCAGCTGTAGCACTTGGCATCCAAATCCCGTGAACTTGAATTGCCAAGCTACAGATAAAATTATGAACGTGAAATTGATTCTGTCGCACAAATATCTGACTTATAACAAGAGGGAAAGCCAGCAAAGCAGTTTGTGGTTATGGATGAAGCATTTACTCATTCTGAGATCAACAAAAAGTACTTGAGCTTGCAGAAATGCAAACATCAGCTGGCACAAACAGGTGGTTACCTTGTGCCTGCCAATCAAGTTCTCAGGAACTATTTTATTTTGCAAAATGGCAAAAAAAAAGAAAAGCTCAGCAGAAATGATATAAATTTTTAAAAGAAAATAAAGTACAATTTATCATAAATTACTTCTCAATGGGTTGCATTGACGCTGTGGAAGGCAAGGCCACATGACACAAGACCCGTGGAATTGAAAATAGACGCCTGTCTTTGTGACATGAGGAGACTGTGAAGTCTTTAATGGACAGAAGCAAAACAACTCTTTTTTACCCTGTTTGTAACTGTGACCCGCCATTATCTCTGGTCACACCGAGCACACATTTCAATTAAGCACTGCATCACTGCACATCACATTAATTATAAGAGACTATAATAAGTCAGGGTTTTTTCTACCATCATGCTATAAATAACATAAGAAGTCTGAGGATGCTACGGGCAGAGCCAAAATCAGGCACCAAACTGAACCACAAGGTGGAGCCAAAAATGAGTGCGTGTGTTTTTTTTAGCCATCTCCATCTGTGTATCTCATTTCAGCGTCGCGTTCATCCGTCCCTTCTTTATTCCCGTGTAATTAAAAATAAAACAATAACAAAAAAAACGAACGAGTACAAGTATATCACTCCAAGTGATATACTTGGAGTGATATACTGTAAAGAGCATAAATCAGCATCTAACTGGAGTAGAGCAGCCAGCCTATTGATCACACCCTTGGTGAATTTAACACTTGGTCTGAATCAGCCCACTTAAAGTGAATACTTTATCCTGTCATTCGTCACGACTGAAATGTCTGCGACTTCTGCCTCGTATCCAGCAAATGATGTTTGATTGCTTATTGAGCCGCGCTCTCAAGTCACTGCTGCACAAGGACAGTTTCCATTCAGCCCAGCGTGCAACAATTAGGCTACAGTTCACCAACGCAACTGGCTCATTAAAACCAGTAACATACAGACTCACAGGGTACAAATCGCCAGCTTAAGTATTTGGTATCAGACAGGTTAAACCCCCCGTTTTAGTAGTGACCACAGAATAGTCCGTGCCTTAACTTCTGCATCTACAGATCCAGCAGCATTAAATGTTTAGTCATTCGTTGCCGCATCTTACAGCTTCTTGCTTCCCCCCCCCAACTGCTGTTAAACCGTTAAGAATGGTTTCTGTTGCTGCATATATTGCTCTCTTCAAATCTTAATAAGCAGTTTCCCTTACCTGTGCTGCGTCTTGTCTGCGTTTCCAATATTCTCCCTTACTTTTGCATTACGTCCGCTGCCCAGAAACACGTCAATTTGCAAGAAAAAGCGTAATTGAAGAGTAACTCAGTTTTCCTCTGTATAGTTCTCTGGATCTTGCTCCGCGTCTCCCTCCACCACCGAGACTCCCAGGGCAGATAAACGGGCAGATAAAATGTGTTACTGATAAGATCAAGAGCAGTCCAGTTTAAATCTGATCTTTGGATGACCAAATCATTTCCCGCTTTATAGGACAGTGGAAAAACAGCCACATCTCCGTTAGTTGGAAAATCCCTCCTCACTTTATCTCCCGGAGAAAAGCAGTGTCTTTTTCTTCCCCCCCCCCACACACACCAGCGAGCAGTTTTACTCTCCCTGCTCAGCCTTTAGAAAACCAGTTGCCTTAAAATCTGATAGGCCCGCTGAACTGCAAGGTTTATCTGTTGGGATTATTCTAACTGCACCGGTGATGCTGCGTATCCCGCATCCCACTTAGGGGCTGCCGCTGAGGTAAGAGCGAGCGCGGAGGAAAAAGCCAGGGAACGATCGCGCTTTGTGCGGTGCTCCTCCAAACAAACGTACCTGTGAAACCCTCTCTGTAGAAAACACCTATTTTACATTGTGCTGTATGTCAGTCGCATTCGTGTACAGTCGGCTGTATCCACTGCGGTCCGGTGGAAAGATGCAGGGCAGACTGATAGAGGTGCGGGCGAAGTCTCCCCTTCTTCTCATACGCGCTGCCGCGCACACGTTCACAGAGGGGGGATTTTTTTTTTTTGTGCTGTCCTCAGACGTGGAAAGGAAGATGCTCCTGACTCTTAATGTATTTATAGCAGTGTGTGTTGGGGGGGGGGTAGAATAACACAAACTACAGATGACAAAGAAAAGGTCATCTGACATTACAGGAACATATATAAAAGAGGGGAAAGTCTATATTATTCATGTTTCATGTTCTAGCTTTAATATAATATTAAAACCGGACAGGATTAATAGGATTAAGAAAAAAGCCTCGGAGTGAAACTGATTATTTCTAGGATTATTTTTCTTACCTGCTCGCTGCTCTGGTGGGTCATGCTGGAAGCACATTTTTAACTCTTTTAACCCAGTCAGCTAGAAAACATCCCCATGACACCATCAATACGTTTTCCCAACCCTCCTGAGCAGGTGGAAATTGTTTTGAAAAGTTCCCACTGACTTTATATCCAATCCACAAACAACTCTACAGCTTTGACTTGCACTTTTGCATCTGTCAGTGTGTGTAAGTGCTTCTAATGGATGAACAATTTAGTCACACTGCTGCTTTGTCTTGCTCTCTGTCTAGACTGGTGGGTAAGAATGTTTTTCAAACATCTCCAGCACTCATCAAGACCCCACAGAGGCCACCAGTTCACTGTGGCGAGCTGTGTTTAAAAGGATGTCAGTCCTGTAACCCCTCCAGATGAATCACAGGCCCCGGTGGCAGTAAATGTCTGTTTAAACACCAAACGCTTTAGTGCAAGGTGAAGGTTGATGAAATTGCTCATGGGAGCTGCGGAGGGACAGACGAGAATAATGTCTTGACATTTTAACCCCACCCTCATTGCGTCCACCAGTCATGCTGTCATCAAAGTGGGGAAGCTGCCAAGAAATGCAAAAGACAATTTCCTACAGTCTCACAATTGTGTCATATGCAAGCATATAGGAGGGATAGAGAGAGAGGTGTTCAGGGATTGTTTTTCCCAGGATGGGAGCGATGGGATGCCTTTTTAGTTGCATTGCTTTCGGATCTCAACTTCTCAAGGGCTTCATTTCTTAGAAATCACTTACAGGTGTGTTTAGATGTAGCCCCAGGAAGAAGAGCAACCGAATGAATTTTATGCACAAATACCACAGTAGAGTTACCACATCCTGAAGTGCTTTATCACTGGTGCAATTTACATACCACACAGTCAGCTATGCGTTGAGTAATTTCTGATCTATTATTGATGAAAAATGAAATCAGCATGCCTAAAATGGGACTCAATGAAGTGGTACCCGTCATCCACATTCCATTATGTGTGGCCAGAATGGAAATCTAATAGGATATTTGCGTTGAGTAATTCAGGCTGGGACTTGGTATTAATTTTTCATAAGCCCCATGGGACAAACACAAAGCTATGCTGAATATGTATTTGCTACTCTCTAAACGTATTGGCTAAATCACTGTTATTATCTTATGCCTATCAGGAGTTTGTACCTGCTAACACAAAATCCAATCAGGGCAGGCTGATCTGTCATAGCATAGGTAAACCAGTTCTTTAGACATGTAGAGATGCAGCAGGACCTGCATCCTTTTTTGTGTCACAACCCAGCTCATAGCTAGTGACACATAAGGCAAGACATGACAGGCTAAGATGCTGTTTATGAGAAAAGATTAGGACAAAGAAAAACAAACACGAGGATGAGTAAGAATGTGGTGGTGGTGATAATGGAAAGCAAATTACAAACAAGCAACAAACCAGGAGGTGGAGATTTTAGGAAGGAGTCAGAATGATTACTAACTGGAACAAATGATGAGTTAAGACCCTCTTCTGAGGGCATTTATCATAGTTCATCGTAGCTCACGTAAAAATAACTGCAGTAAAAGTGATAATAAATGTCTTTTCTGACATTGTCTGCTAATGTGTTTTCCCAACTTGTCTACTGGAGACACTCGAGGCTACAACGACAACAAGTTTAAATTTCCAGCATTGTTTTTATCATTATGTTACAGTGCACTCACACAGAGGCGTGTCGTGAAAAATGAGACTTGTCTCACTGAAATTGGACAAAGAGTTCATTTCAGGACACAAGTGGTGCAGATTCACACATTTTATCTGAACATAGTAAGGAAAATGGCAAATTCTTCTAATAATGCAGGGTCATTCATAAGACCAAAAAAATGTTGGGAATGTAGGCTAGATGCCAGAGATTATTAGCTAATTTTAGCTTTTGGAGCCATAAATCTGCTGCCGTATCACTAGCTGTCATCCCAGAAGCTGATGTACTTCATTATTTTTCTGTTCTGGTTGAATTGGGCGTTATTGTTTGTTTACAGTACCGTAGAGCTCCAGAGAGCAAGGCAGAAGGATGTCACCTGTCAATGGCCAGAGGCAGCTTATATTCAATTAGAATATTATTATAAAATGATGTAAATCAGCCTTTTATTGGGCTGTAAATTCTGTTCCACTGTTACATTTACCTTTTGGTGACAGCACAAAGACAGAGGGAGGAAGATAGAGTAGGTATAGGGTGAGAAGGAGAGAAAGGAACTTAAAACAGGCAAGCATAGACATGCAGTCAAAGTTAACAAAAGTTACAAAGCCAGAGTAGCTTCAGTCATCGATGTTGATTTTACTTTCTAAGTAGAAGATACTAATGGACATGAATGGTGCCATTTAGGGCGTCATTCACATCATCTAAACAGGATGGTTTCAAATCTGTTCTCCACTTCTGGAGTTGTGTAGCTGACATCCTGTTCTCATTCTGCACAATAAAGGGAGAGTTTGTAAGAATTGGAAAACTTTAAGGTAAAGTAAAATCAGCTCTATTACCAATTTGTTTTTCCAGGTTTTCGGAGTGGCACTGTGATTTTTCATGATGCGCTGCATGTTTCTCCTCTAATCTACTCTGCTACAAATTGTTCTTCAACTTACTTTTGAAAATTATAGTCAACACAACTGAGTCTTTGCCTCAAGTTTGATAACTAAAATGTCTATCCTAAAGGCATGTGTTATACACTGCAATAGGTCATCCAACTAATTAGTTTGCTTTTGGTGGTAACATTGTAATGCGTACCCAGTTGAATTGAGGCTTGCAAAGGGGAAAGGGATTGTATATGTTTGCAAGCAGCATACTCCGTTAATATCATGAATATTAACTGCAAGACACTGTATGACATTATGATTGGGAGCTGAGCCCCTCTAAAGGTCTGATCATAGAATCGCCCCTGACTGGAACCATACTGACCTAATGACCATCCATTCCTTCAGAGTCCTGCAGGAGGAAACCCTACAGTGACAAGAGAAAGGCAAGTGGCCATAATGCTCATCAGCCTGGCGTCTACTGTACAATTCCTACAAGACAAACTCAACCAGCAACAGTGTGGCTGGGGATTTATGCTAGCAGTAGCCAGTACAGCCCTGAGCCACTAGCCTCGAGCAGAGATGGAGGTGATGAGTGAGCTGCAGAGGTCTGGTCTTGCTCATTGCTCCAGACATTGTTGGTTTTCAAATGTGTAGTCCTCAGACTCAATTGACTCAACTGACATCTCCTGAGGGAATTATTAGATTTCATGGAGCTGCCTCCACAAGCATTGAAGACTTAATATTGCTTTTCCACATAGCTCATGCAACACCGCTTCCAAAGGCCCATTGATGGTGGGTAAAGCTGGCAGAGAGCCTCTTTAAATTCCCACAAAATTTTGTATGGGGTGACGTGTTCTAGCATTAACACAATGTTTGGGCTTTCTCCTTGATTAAGAGGAAAAATCCCGTCCTGTAGACCAATGTTAATGTTAATGAAATAATCGTTGTTACACTTCTAGTACTTCCATAAATTACTGAAGTCAGGATGGTTGTTCTCTGCAGTGAGCAAACACACACATAAGCAATGTTTCAGTTACAATATTAAAACAGATCTCACAAGCAAAGATCACAGGTCTGCAATTAGATAAAATATGTTTGACTGCACCTGTCACCTAATTACTCTGCAAACTCCTTAAGTTTGTCTTAATTATACTGATTAAAATATTAGTATTTCTTTCAGTTTGACTAAAATGTGCACTAAAATACAGAGCAGTTATTTCATACACAATAATAAAATAATATTACTGCAAAGGGGGCAAGAAATAAACTAATGAAAACATTTTTAAACAGGTTTAAGTAGCAGTTTTACTCATATGGTTGGATCATTTTAATAATAATATCCTACTGACCACTGGTTTCCAACACACAGCAGTCTGCTTTGATTCTATGATTTTTTTAATAACAGTGAGCACATTTCAAAGTTCCTATGATCAATAGGTGTTGAAAGAGCACTACTGCATTTTTTAAAACAAACTTCAACATTCCCATTCTGTCAAAATCTATTTTAATAATTCATTGATCACTTTTAAAATATCTGTAGGTCTCCTTTTTGCTACGCCTCATTCGAGGTAGTCTGTAATCTTTGGGGCTGAATTTCCTCAGGCTAAACTGAAAACAAAAAGAGAACAGGGATGCCTTTAATCTTCCAATATTGCTTTTCCCCCTACTTTGCTGTATTTGTCTTTCATGCTTTCATAGAAAAAAAAATAGTATGTTTGGATAAAATGCTCTGTGAATCACATTTGCTGGTAAGACTGAAAATCCAGCTGTGCCCATAAAGCAGCGGCTCATGCAGAGTTTGATTTAAACAGCACACTGAAGTCAGAGCATGAGTTAAATGACACAATATAAATGTGTGTCAATATCAATTTCCCTTTCCAAAATAAAAAAATAAAAAATAAAAAATAAAAAAAAAATAAATAAAAAAAAAAATTTAAAAATTAAAAATAAAAAAATAAAAAAAATAAATAAATTAAAAAATTAAAAAAATAAAAATTTCCCTTTCCAGCTAATACCGATTACCAATTTGTAAAAACAGAATCAAAATTTAAATATATATTTTTAATGGAAGAAGATATTTTTGTTTCTTATTTTCAGTTAGGACATTTGGTTTGTCACTAATCTCATCCATGAACATA